CCTCCTTAAATCTTATGCTCTAGGCACTGCCTTGCCTCAACTCTAATCTCAGCCCTGGTGCACAAATGGGGCAAATCTGACAAATGCACAGTAGCAGTAACTGACTTAAAAGCCCTTTGCAGTCTGAAAGAACCAGCTGTGTCTTCTACCTACAGTTCTGCAAAAAGTTCCTTGTGTTTTCATAATAAGTTATCCTTTTTGCTTAAGAAAAAAAAATCAACAAAATGGCTTGTTTCTATTAGTCATGACCAAAAGAATACTAACCAATAGAACAGGTGATACATACAGCTATGCCCTATTTATTCTGTATTATTGAGGAACAGGGTATTCTGGTAAGTAAGGTATTCCAGTAAATAAAAACTTTACGGGTAAGTTAAGCTTACCCTTATCTCACCCTCTGCAAGCTATCACTGAATGCAGTGTAGCATTTTATTTTATAAACTATTGTATTCAATTAAATTTTGATCTGCATCTTTTAATGATTTTCTTTGGAAGATGTGAGGCATTTTCAACTTACATGTGAGGAAATTAAGTTTGGCTGTGTGCTTATTGTATTTCAGCATGAATGGCCCATAGGCACCATTGTGCACAGTTTTGCACAGACAGAAATGGAGGTAAAGAACGTTCTAGAAGGAGGCCTTTATGTATAAAAACTGAAAAGGGTGTTTGCTTTGTGGTTTGAAATTGCTGGTAGAATCAATCAAGGGGACTACTGTGTGTAACTCTGACTTTGGTTTACCCTGGGCTTCTCACAGTTTCTGCAATCTGTACTCAAAAACATCCAAGTATAAAACTTGGGTCTCTACCAGCGCTTTCTAGAAAGAGGTAACAATATGAGTGAGGGCTTGAGTCACTTAGCTGGGTCTTGAGATATGAATGAGGTTTCCACTTTTAGAGATGGAGTAAGTGGACAGAAGTATCATGGTCAATCACTAGAGCTGTACTAATCAGGATCTTTGAGCGAGCCCTTCTCCACGTGACCAGGCTCATTTCATCATTGAATGTGCTGGGAGACTCCTCTCCGTGTTATCATAAGCGTAAGTGTAATTCTTGTGAAATCTTTATTGTCATTGATAGTTGGCTGTTAATACTGTGATTTTTATGGAATTAGGTATACAGTGCTTAATATATACCTTTGCAGATGTGTTTGGCAACAATTTCACTTATGTTCCTAAGCTCTTATAACCTGACTTGCACTTTATACTAAATTGCATGAATCATATCTAGGAGTTCAGAGTTATATACTTATTAACTTATATTCACAGTCAGTAAATGGTGATCAGCCACCATTGAGCCTAATTTATCATTTTATTTTATTGCATGCTTGTGCTCTGAATGTCAGGTTACTTCCCTAAATATTGGTCTTTTGTCCTAAGTTGTCTTAAAAAGTTTTATGGTCTTCTCATTTTACAAATGCAGAAATCAATGGTCTAAAGTGAGGAGCTTATGTCGATCTATACCAGTGGGGGGTCTTTAATTGCCTTTAGGGGGGTAGTTTGAATTTAATTTACAATACTGTAAATATTGTAAATAAAACGATCTCTTTGTTTAAATCCTGGTCTTGGTTCTTCTTCATAAATTTTCTTAAAAATAAGTAGTTTCAGGTGACAGGTGGGGGAAATTAATCATCTGGCTAAGCACTTGTTCTATGACACTGAATAGCCTCTGCAGTTAATTGCCATTGAGTGCAGTTTGGCATTTTGTTATCTAAAACAACTGTGGTGTAAATATTCTTTTATTATTCAACTAAAATTTGAGTCTGTTTTTTTTTCAAAAGCTTTATTTGAACTATTGCCTCCTTTTCAGTTTACAAATAAGGAGAATAACTGACCAAGAAGCATACCTTTTCAAGCATCAGAACTCCAATTTTAATGGAAATATTTTTATGACACTTTCCTGCTTTCCTAAACAGAATATTGTACACAAAGCATAATAAGAGTCTCATGTTGACTCAAGGTTGCCAAAATGGTCAATTATTTTACTAAGCTTTAATACTGCAAAGTCTTCAGGACTACTTGGATATATATACAGGTCTATTCCTACGATGAATAAGCCCCATACCACTGTGCTTTCTCAGCTGTCATTTATCATCTTTTATCATTGTCAGTATACCATTGATTCTAACCTTCTTCCTTATCTCATACATAATTGTGTAGTTAGTAGCTTCCAATTTCTTTTTTTTCTTTTTTGGTTTGGCAATGGTCCATTTTTTTTTTTTCCAAATGAAATCTTACATAAATATAAAAAATAAAAAGGTTTGTGCCATGGAAGTGGAACAGTGGGCCTAGTGACCTGCTGCTAAGCCTCTATACTTGGTTTCCAGTGCACAACACTGAGGTGTCTGATGGAACCCCAGGCCACCCCCAAACTAATACCACTGGTCAAATCTAAGAGTGACTTCCTCTCTTCTGAAGGATGAACTTTTTGGGGGAAATGTCATCTGGTATCTTGCACAAAAGGCAACAACAAAAAAGATCCATGATCTCATTACTCAGTAACCTCTGAGTATAACAAACAAAAAGAAAAGAAAAACATTTATAAAGTTAAAAAATTTAAACAACATAGAAAGGTAAAAAAGGAAAAGAAATGGCTTCTTCAATCTTGTGCATACCCACCATTACACCAAGACCTTTCTCCTCAAATGTAACCACTATTAAGTTACTTGTGATTCCTTCCATAAGGTATATGAGTGTGTATGTGTGTCTATATATATGTGTGAATAAAGCCTTTTAAATAAAACTTTATGTATACAGAAGCTATCATACTATACTCTGTTATGCACTTTGGTTTTTCATTTAATAAGATATCAGCAATCTTTTTTTTTTTTTTTTTTTTTTTGCGGTACGCCAGCCTCTCACTGTTGTGACCTCTCCCGTTGCAGAGCACAGGCTCCAGATGCACAGGCCCAGTGGCCATGGCTCACGGGCCCAGCCGCTCCGCGGCGTGTGCGATCTTCCCGGACCGGGGCACGAACCCACATTGCCTGCATCGGCAGACGGACTCTCAACCACTGCGCCACCAGGGAACCCCAGAAATCTTTTTTAAAGTAATCTTTGACAGTTGTGTTTCACATAGTTGAGTTATCCAAACTAACTTCCAGATCAGCAGATTACTGTGCATATGACTGATTGTGTTTCTATTGTCTGTGTCTGGACATGATGAGGCATTTTCTAAGAGAAGCATGGTGGTAAAATGCTCAGCTTTCTCCACAAACATCATTTATTCCACAATGTGTCTACAATGGAACACTATCCTCAAAATAATATAAAAAATAGCTATGTTATACTTTTCTACAACAGAACTTAATCACCGTGTGTAACCATGTTTCTATGGAAAACAGAATTTAGAGTTCCAACTTGGAACTGGAAATACCTCTCTAGACATAGAACAGCACAATGGGAAACATGGGTTTTAGACTCAAAAGACCTCAATTTTAATCCTGGCACTGTCAATACTAGTTTTATCACTTTGAGCAAGTTACTTAACTAAAGTTCAGTTTCTCATATGTAAAAAGGAGATAATGGTATGTATTTCTCAGGCTGTTCTGATCAAATGAAGTAATAGAACATTGCCTGGCACATAATAAGGTACTGTTAAGTCCCTTTCCATTCCCCTATAAAGGGATTAGGATTTCATGATTAGCTTCAAAATCCAATGGACTACAGAAGGGGGATGGGGCAGGGAGTAGGCAATCGAGCAGAGATTCAGGGAAACAAGGGACAGGTGTAGGCATTCTTGATGGTTAGAATGGATAAAGCTCCTACATAGCTTCTTGATTTTGACTAATGCCTCAGCTACTGTCTTTATTTTTGCTCTCATGGGTATAGGAATTGACCCTCTCCTTTGCTTTATATTTCTACTATCTGCTGCTTTCATTTATAGACCCCACCTCCACTTTCCCTAGACAACAGCAAGACAGAATTTAGTCCTAATTGCTCCTCCTAAAGTTTCACACAGTTAAAAAACAGCTGGTATAAAAACACACCTGTAGACTGACTTCTAGAATGGCAGAGTGAGGACCTCAGTGAACTCACTCACTCTCCCTCTGAAACAACGAAAATAAAAGCAAATAAATAAACTATTTCAGAACTCTGGCATTTAATGGAAGCCACAGAATGAACTATAAAATCCAAGAGGAACTACTGAAACTTGATGCCCTTGAGAAAAGCAGCAGCCCAGGCACCTGAAGTGGAATATGGTCCAGATAGCACATAATTAATGGAAATGCCAGTTCCAATCTTGTCTACTGGCTGGGGAACCCGTGATCTTTATCCCTCTGAGGTCAAGTTCATCTCACTTCCCCCCTAACTACCTGTGAGAATTAAATAATGTTATATGGTGACAACACCAACAACAAAACACTCATGAGTATGGTCATGAGTTATTTACCTAAAAAAACTTGCTAAATCCAACATCTCTAGCTTACACATGAAAGATATACTATTTGCAGTCAAACCATTTAAAAGCTTTAGACTTTGTTTCAACACTGTGCTTCACCTTTCCATGAAGTTATTATCCATTAATATTTCTAAAAAAGAATGACAATAAGGCCAAAACTGTAATCTGACATAAACCAAAATGACAATACTGATATTCTTTGGCAAAGTATTTCTCTGCACTGAGCCTCAATCTTTCTAGTACGTTTATCAAAAGATGATTTCTACGTCTTCCTCTGTATTAGAGTAAGCTGTTTGTCATGCCTAGATGTATTTAAGTATCCTTTCTTCAAAGCACCAATGCTACAATCCTAATGCCTTTCTTCCTCTGATTTCAAGACAGCATTTTAAAAACAAATCTTAACCCAAACTATCCAATCCATACTGTACCATAAATTTATAGACTCTCAAACATATATACAATGTTGCAGTATAATGGATTTACTTATATTTTACTTTTATATCATCAAAAATAGCTAATAATGACTTTTCTTAATTTGAATTAAATTGCATGGGGAAAACAAGCAAACACTAATACATGTTTTACTAAGATTAAACTCCTACCTTAGGAGAAGTGGAGAGATCTCTTCCTGCAGACATAACTGTGTTTTCATTTACTCCTCCTGTCTTTGGTGAGATGGCTGGTGGGGCCGGGACTTTTCTTTTTACTCTCCTTTCAGTTTCCAGTTCTTGAACTGGACTTACCAAATTATTTGGAGGAGGAGTTAGTTTAGGTTCATAAAAAGGATTTGATCTAAATGAAAGAAGAATTATTGTTAAATGTCTTTATAAAAGTAGTTTACTCCCAATTAAAATACCATAATATTTTCATTTATAAAACTAGAACATACTGAAAATGATAAGGAAAAACCCAAACCAACGATAACTTACAATCTGGAAATAGGCACTCTCAATCTTTTGTTAATCATTAACAATAAAACTTTCCCTTTTAAAAAGTATTTTTAAATCTTTAAAATACAAAGTCATACTCAGCTCTGCTATATACAGACCCTTGGGAAAATGTTTGTAATAAGAGTAAATCCTACATATTCTCCACACCACAGAAGAGGAAATAAGATGAGAAAACATTGATTTTTTTTTTTATGCTCCCTCACCAAACTTTTTTTTTTCTTGAATTTCTTCTCTTCCTCTGTGTTAAATTCCCTTCCCATTAGGGACCATCTTTGAGAAGTTCATTCAGTGAGGTTCCTTTTTTTGGCGGTATGCGGGCCTCTCACTATTGTGGCCTCTCCCGTTGAGGAGCACAGGCTCCGGACGTGCAGGCTCAGCGGCCATGGCTCACAGGCCTAGCCGCTCCGCGGCATGTGGGATCTTCCTGGACCGGGGCACGAACCCACGTCCCCTGAATCGGCAGGCAGACTCTCAACCACTCAACCACTGCGCCACCAGGGAAGCCCCAGTGAGGTTCCTTTAATAGCAAATTCTTCCAGGCATTGAAAATGCCTTCATTTCAGCCTCAAACTTAAATGATAGTTTAGCTGGGTAGTTTATTCTAGTTGTTAGTTAACTCATCTCAGCACTTTGAAATATTAGCCCCCTGTTGGTTTAATATTGCTCTTTTGTAAGTCATCTTTTGTCTCTGGTTGCTGCCTAAGATTAAGATCTCTTTATTTCTGGTTTTGAGCAATCTTACTAGAACATGTCTAAGTGTGTATTTCTTTTAAGTTTATCCTGTTCCAGAGTCCTTGAATCTCCTGTGTCTGGAGATTCATGTGTTTCACTAGTTCTGAAAAATTATCAGCCATTATATCTTTGATAGCCTCTTCTTTATTTTCTCTATTCTCTTCTCTAGAAAATCATATTAAATATATGTTGAATTACCTCTCTCCTTCATATTTTTACAAGTTTTTATTTCTCCTGTACTACATTCTGGATAATTCCTTCACATCTATAATCCAGTTAACTTCTTCACTTTTCATCTATGTCTAATTTAATGTTCAATTCTCCATGAATTTTTAATTTCATAAGCATATTTCTTCATATGGCTGTGTGTATAATACCTTAGGTACAAAAGATCTGAGTCATTAATCATTTACACATATTTACTTTATAGTCTCTATCTGATAAATCTATCATTTGAATTCCTTGGATTTATAATCCTTGTGTTTCTTTTGTCTCCTGACTCTTTCTCTTAGTAAACTATTTCCTTGTGTATTTTGTAATTCTAGATTGTGAGTTCAGGACTTGATCTGAGGAAATCTTGTGTAGTTGCTGGGAGTCCCTCTGTTCAGAGTATTTCATGCTTGCATTTGCCAAGCAGTTTAGGAGCCACTTTGTTTCTCACTTTCTTGGCTTGGGGGTTCCCAGATCATCCTGCCAGCATAGCGTCAAATCCACATGAAGGCAGGCCTATGCTTATAACTTCTTAGGGAAGTCTTCTTTTTTCTCTACCTGAGTCTAGCCCAGGCAGAAAATCTTCCTTGTTAACTCCCTTTATGAGTAGATATTTTTCTCGTTACTTATCCGTAAACACACGTATCTGGTGTTTATCATGATTATTCTTCCTGTTACACAGTAATAAACTTTTATTCTGGTTATTATTTGTTTGTTGCATTTTTTTTCCCAACACCAGTCTGTTCCCTAGAATTCAATATCTTTATGCATAGTAACAAGAGAATTTCTGAGTCTGCAAAGCTAAGAACCAGATCACCCAAACATACTAATTATACCAAGGGAACTCCACTTAGTTATATAAAGTCTGTACTGGTGATAGCCTTCTGTGTTCAGTTATGCACGTTCTTTTAACTGTAACAGTACCAGATTCATTTAGAACCAATAACGAAGTATCTATATCTCTGCCTAAAGTCAGTCAGCTCTCACAAGACTCAGGGGACCAAGTGTATCTAGACCAGAGAGGGGAAATATACCATACTTGTGATGTCACTCTTACTCTGTACTCATTTCAACAGTTAGTGTCTTGTGACTTCTTCCCATTGAGCTGGGGATATAGCCTCAGAATCTCTGTCACCTCTGCTCAGGCCTTGCAGAGTTATTTTTCAAACTCTAAGAGTAGTTCAAAGGGAAGTAAAAATAAAGAAACGGGCTAAAAAAAATTTTTTTAACTCTAAAACTTAGAAAAGAAAAAAATCTCCCCTCTCCCCCTCAAAACTTACTATTTGCTTAACTGATGTTAAATGTTTCAGGACTGAACAAACCCACTACAATCTAAATGAATTAATTGAATCATGTGAACTATCTGGGTGATATTTTAAAAAATTATTCCTGGTTACACCTCTCTATAACAAATTTCCACAGTAGTTTGTAAGACGGTAGCTGCTACAATATTCATTATTAATTTGTCATATAAGTATGGTTAGTTTTTAAAAAAAACTTAGAAGTGTTAGAGGATAGATATTTCTATTACAGAAGGATCTGTGCTTAACAGAGAAAAAAATGACAGAATTCCTTATACAGGCAATTTTTTCAGTATGCTTTATATAATTGAATTTACAATACTAAGTTGCATGAAACTTTTATAAAACTTATCTAGCATGTATAACAAAGATATCTAGATACCGTCCTTTTTCTTCATGTCTCTCTGCCTCCCTCTAACCACCTGAATATTGGTATTCTTTATATATTGAAGGTAAATGCAAGTAGAAAAGTTCAGATAAACTAATTTCCAAAGTTGGTTCCTGAGGCTCATAATAAATACTAGAAACATAACAAAATGGACATTTTCTTGAAACAATTAGAGCTGTGTTTCTCAATCCATTTTACAGTATGACATGTAGTAAAAATGAAATTTGTATGCTATGCTAGAGTGAACATAGGAAACTGCTGGAAATTGAAGGTACCAAGGACTTCAGCTGCCCCAGACCATGCCTGACCGCCAAGAATACTAGGGGAATCAGTATCTCTGCAGGCCTGCAAGCCACCTGTGAGACAACAGTGTTCTAGGCACCACTGGTTAGGTACTAGATCATAATAAGGACAAGAAGCCTCTACTTACAAGGGCTTTAAATGATCCTCCATCTAGATCAGAGATTTCTAACTAAAACTTAATTTCCTACTCTCTAAGAGTGAACTGGATATACTTCCATGTATATGAAATATCCAAAACAGTCAAATCCATATAGAGAGAAGGTAAATTAGGAGTTTTCAGGAGATGGGGAAAAGGATTAATTGGAACTAACTACTAATATATATGGGATTTCTTTTTGGGGTGACAAAAATGTTCTGAAATTAGAGAGTGATAATGGTTGCACGACACAGTGAACAAACTAAAAACCACTGAAGTGTACACTTCACAGTGTGGCATTTTATGTTATGTGACGTATATCTCAATTTAAAAAGAGTAAATAGGAATAGTACATATATGTGATTATGAACAGTACTCCCTTCTCTGTAATGAGAAGAATTATATAATTTCTGATAAATACATTAAAAAATATTTAAACAGTAAGAAAAAAGTTATTTAAAGAATTAGCATAACTTCCACATTCTGTTATCATCTATGATCTGAATAATCTGTTTCAAGGCTTCTTACATCACTCTGAATAAACAATAATTATTTTTATTCTTATACTGTACACTTGAGTAATAAATTAGTTATATCATTAACTCACTGTGAACTAAAAACTCATCAATTATGTTATGTGGAAAACTGGACAGAATAACTTTAAATGACATTATTCATTGTTTAAAAATATAATTAATCCAAGAAAAAGAATTACAGAAAGAAAAATTGAAGTTGATTAGAAACAGTACTCACAAACATAGTGAAGCAAGGGTGGAACAAAATCTGTATTCTTTTCCTCTCAACTTGAAAACTTATTTTTCTTTGAAAACACAATTCAAATGTATTAAAATGAGTGTGTAGCTTCCCTGAATAAACTTCAACGACAATTTCCCTTGGGAAACTGACACACAATCATACTAGAAATGATTTCACGCTGGACCTCAAAAGTCACTTCATAAATGTTTTGAAAAATATTACTGCCCTATCAGTTTTCACTTTTGCTACATAACCAGAATGGCTGAACTAACCCCCAAACACGAGAAAACTGAGCAACCCATACAGCTGCTAAGTGTAAAGGACACGTGCTAAAAGCCCTGAAGGGTGTACACTTTCTCCTCGGGGCTGATGGATAATGCTGAGTTTCTGAAGGTTGTTTTAGAACATCAAAGAACACAGCACTATTTATTTGTGAGAGTTTTATGTTAGAGGATCCAGGAAGAGTTTGGTAATGGAAGATGAGTCATATAGGCTTTTCACTTGATGAAAGGTCATAAGTTTATTACTGAAGTTAAGAACAAATTATGGGAGATTTCTGCTACTTAAGTTGGACCTACAAACTTTTGGAGAACAAGATGAGAAATACCAAGTAAGTAACACAGAGTTCTTCCTGGACATTAGCTGATGAGCAATCTTTAGAATTTATGGATGTGTTCCTTCAAAAAAGCTGAGTGTTTATAGACTACCTCTGGTAACCTCAGATGATTGAGCAGTTTAGAATGCTCTTTATTCATGGGAAACTTTGTAAAGGCTATGACTTTCATGTAGAAAAAAGAATGGTCAAAAGGAAACACCTAGTCATTCTGATTTTAGTTTTTATTAAGGCATTTTAAAAGTTTAAGCAAACACTGGATGTCTCTTTAATTTGTTAATAGGAGAGAGGAGGGTGTGTGTATGTTGTGTAATATTCATGCATTTTGGAATGACTGAATGCTTGTATTTAAAGTTTGCATTTACATTCAAATACTCTAGGTGTGTGGCTATTACTCAGCACC